AATTAGGCCAAGAATATGGAGGATGTAGAGAACATCCTCAAATACTTTCCCTCCAAATTTGAGTTTAAGATCATGTATATTTGGAGAGTAATACACAAAAATCCATAGGAAATTAAAGGATATTTACTCTCATACTATGCATGATATAATTTCAAAATTATTTCTGAATCAAAGGGCTTGTCACCCTGAATCCATAGAGCCCTAACATGCAGAGATTGCATGAGAAACAAATTAACTATGGATTTTAAAAAATCTAAGTCAAATTATGACCAAAATTTTTATAAATTCATGTATGATTAGTATTGATCTCAAATAACCCTACAAAAATTTTTGGATGTAAAAAATGCCCCTCAAACTACTTTAGCCAAATTTGAGCTTGAGCAAAGGAACATATATGGAGTAGTTGATGAAATTAAATAAATGTTCAAACTACAACTACTTATTATTCATTATTTTATCTTCATTTTATTTTTGATAGATAAGAATTTCAATTTTGAAGAGATTGACTATTTATTTGTCAAATTTGATGAAAATTTGATATTACTATGAATTTTCAAAATTATCATATTTAAAGTAAATTTAAAATATATATTAAATACATTTGGTATTGGTGGTGGAACTTTTACATGTGACGGAACTGGAAGAAGTTGTGTGGATTGCAGTGGACTAGGAATATCCTGTGTGGATTATGACAATTAGCTATACATCATAGCCAGAGTGGTTACTTAACCATGTCGGTATGGTTGATAAGCATTTTATTCGAGCTGTCAGGATGGAGGGTCTAGCTTGAGTTGAACAAAAACTCAAAACATCGCGTGCATTATGGGATTGGCCTGAACGAATGGTCCAATGGGATCGAGGCATTTCAATATATATAGGATAGATCAAATGATCAAGAACTTGTCTTCTTCCTTCAATTGACCAAAACCCTAATCTTATATTTCGCATCAAACTACTACCATATAGCTTCAAATGATACCAAACTTTAAACAGAGGTAGGAAATGGATAGAGAAAGAATGGGGGACATCTCTTATAGGCGTTTATGCATTTGATTAGTTCCTATTTAAAATACTAAGAAAGCACATTGGGTTTTAGTTTTATCTCTATAGAAACTTTCATAGGGGGAGTTTGATGGCTAGCTTTCCTTGTTGAGAGCTCAACAAGTTTGATAAAGACCCCAAGCTCAGAGGATTGCTAGATAAGAAGTTTAAACGCATTGGATGGAATATCATTCGGCCCACCATTGATCTTGTCGCCGGAGACATCCAAACCACTAGAAAAAGCTAGTGTAATATAGAGGGTAAATTGGGAAGGAAAAATAAAAGCTCAAAATGACTGGAGGAGGTCTGTGTTGAGATATATTGGCATGATTATTTTTCATGAGTTGCCCTATTTGAACCAAGGGAGCTCTATCCAAGGGCTGTGAAAACTCAGAAAGTCCATTAGATGCTCAACACCTGTCCAGGTGGCTAGGAGCTAGAGAGTGGCTATAAAGGTGAGAGTGACTCAAGTTCTGAGTTCACATAGGAGGGGACCCAACCTAGTTGTCTTAGGCCAAACGGATGCTTGGGCTCAGGTTAGGGAGTATTTAGGAATATTCCATAAGGGTTTTAAATAGGTTCCATGAGTTATTATGTAGGGGATTGCAATGAAAAAAAGGTTTGTTGATCATATGAGCATGTGCATTGATTTTGTTGACTATTTGACTAGTCAATAAGTCAAGCTGACATGGATGGGCTTTGGAGAAGCTTTGCGTGTTGTTGGAGTAAATGTCAAGGGATTTGAAAGAGTGGTTTAGACGCTTGAGTCTATGGTTGAGCATATTAATAAGTTTGACCAGCCTTGGTTGGTTGACTAAGTCAAACCAATCAAGATTTGACATAGTAGGGGTGTTGGGTGTGTTTAGTTTAAGTGTATGCATAATAATGACCCAGGTTGACTTGATTTGACCAAATTTGGGGTAGTTAACTAGTTCAATTGATGACTAGTTCAAGGTAACCAACCTTATATAATTTACTAGGCATTATGTTTAGGGAAGTTTAGCGAAGTTCAAAAGTGGTTTAAGATTTAACTGGAGGCCAACATGATGTTTGACCAATAAGGCTAGGTTGAGTTTCCCTAATTAGGTCAAATAGATCAACTATATGCTGGAGTGGATAGTGGTGAGGTCTTTGTTAAGTTAGAGGGAGAGAGAAGACCCCAAAAATCTTATACGTATATGTCTTCCAAATGAATCAAGCATGATGTATGCAGGTCCTTGTTTTATTAGTTATTTATTAAAGGTAATTAAAGATACTCCAATCTAATTTGTAAGTGTCTTCCTAAAAAGAGTTGTACACAATACATAGGGCCATTTGGTTATTTAAAATTATTTAAGAACCTCATAAAACTAATGCTAATGTGCCTTCCAAAGGAATAAAGCACAAAGCATGGAAGGTTCATTGATTATTTAATTATCAAATTTATTTGATTAAAATGAATTTCACCAAATAAATTATTAAATTAATATGGTTTATATAATTTAAAATTCAATTACCATTTCCTTATTTTTATCTAGATTATTTAGAATTTTTAATTAATTATAATGAATCATTAATTAATTATTAATGGTTTATTATTTACTTTTATTTAAAATTTCAATTAAAACTCACTTAAATATTTTGGTTTTTTATTTTAATTTGTTTTCTTTATTTTAGTTGTATTTATTATGATTTATTTGATTTTTATTGAATTATTAAGCTTTTAATTAATTATTAAAGCCTTTTATATACAGAGAAATCAGGTTATTTAGTTTAATAATGAAATAAACTCACATAGCCAGAAGATTAAGGGCATTGGTTAAAACTAATTCTTGAAAATTTGAAATTATTTTGATTAATATTTGATTTTTATAATTTTATTTAATTATTTATTAATTAGAGGTTAATTAAGTATTAATTTTTAATTTTCCTTGATTGTATATAATTTAGAGTTGATTAAAACTTGGTTTGTATTTTTTTAATTTTTTGTGTGATTCATTATAATTTTTGTAAAAATTGATCCTTAAGTAGGGTCTGATGTTAGGTTTGCTTAGTTAAGGGTGCAAATAATTTCAAATTATTGTCAAATTAATTTCTAGGATGTGTAATATCATTGAGTTTACTGAGTTTGAGTTTCACCCCTATTAGATTCTTATAAAATTTCTAAAAAAATTTCTAAGTTGACAAGACAAATTCCTTAATTATTTTTTCTAGGTGTCACAAGTGTTCAAATGGATCTAAATTTTGGTGTGACTAACCCTTACATAGATATAAGTAAATCATATCAATTTGGTCTCCTAATGCTCTAGAGGGTGCCTACTCCTTCTCAAAAGGTGCATCCTTAATACTTGTTGGTGTGTCCTCGTTCGCTTTCCTCTTTCTACTCCTTTATGGGTAGGAGGTTCTCTATCGAGGATCTCAAGGAAACAAGAACCCTCGAGAAAGAACAGCACAGTATCCCACCAATAAGAGTAACTCATTAACAACTTGGAGAGCAAAAAACTTAGAATATTTTTGATAAGATAATACGGCTTACCAAATGTGTCAAAGAGGTGCTTAGAACCCAAGTGGTGACTCACCATGAACAACTTCCTATGCAAAGGCTTGAATGTTCGAACTTCCTCCTCATTTAGCTTGAGCACCATAACTATTTCTTTGGTAAAGGAGAGTGAAGAAGTTGACAATAATTTTCTAATTAGGGACTCTACAAATAGAAATTTCACCTTTCACTTCTTGACCTTGTTGACCAAGTTACGTCTCCTCATCACCACTAAAGAGAGTTACACGTTGCTATCCGTAAAGGCCTTGGTTATGAACACAAGGAAATCCATTCAACTCCCCTAGCTAAGATGTGATCTAAAAGTGATCAGATTCACCATTAAGTTTTACATGATTTGAGCCTAGGACAAATTCATAGAAATTTAGCACCTTGACAAACTCTTGGTAGAAGGCAGTTGTAGACCCAACTTAAAGTAGTCGTAGGATGCAAAGTTTGTTTTTATTGAACATATTGAGGTGTTCATCCTTAGTGGGCACCCTCACTCAGAGGTTGGCATCTTCGTTACAATATTCAATATACGCTATGTCAGCATAAGTATCAGTTGTCTTAAAAACTTGACGGCACTCGACATAGACAAAAGCCTTAAACACTAGTGCGAAGATGCCATCTCAAATGCAAAGATGCACATTAGCAGGAAGCAGAAGGATAAAGTGTCGAGCACAATGCAAATGTTGTTCCCAAAATTGCACCCATATTGTCATCAGTGCGGAAAGATTTGATATTTTTCCTCTTACTTCTTCATATACGGGGTTGCTATTTGAAAATGCATTAGAAGTTGCACCAACTTGAAAAAATAGAATTTTCATCCTCATCTCATCTCATGAGAAATTGTTCCTAAAATAAAAAAATAAAACTCATCTCATGAGAAATTGTCATCAACTCATCCCATCAATGGATGAGAACCACCATTGACTTGCCTTAGTTAAAATTGTTCCCAACTCCCTACATGAAGAGTTAGTAATCTATACTCAGCAAAGAGTTATAAGCAGCTAAATTTCTAGTTTTAATTTAAAATTCTCTATATTTTCTTATTACTTTCTAAAATAATTTCTTTATTTAAAAAATTTTGAACTATAATTTTTATGCTAAAAAGATATTTTAAAAAGTAATAAAAATTATATCAAATAAAATCTAAATTTAATTCACACAATTTATTTTTTTTTAAATACGACCAATCGTAAATATAAACCCCACTAAAAATCCTGAACGGTCGACCGCCAGCTGGCCTTTTCCTGATTTACTAATTTTTCTGTTGCCGAAGGACTTAGTATAGCGAGGCTGCACTATTTTAATTTATTTGCTGGAATCAAAGACTCATTATTTATAAAGAAAATTTAAAAAAAAAAATTTGTAAGTACGCATTCTATTTATCCGACCGTTCCCCAATTATGAATCCCAGCTTTCACTTTTTCCCATCACAGAAAGAGAAACAGAGCGAGAGAGAAAGATGGCGTCTCCAATCATCTCGCTTCGTCTCGCATTTCTGGTTATCCTCCTGGCAGCGGCGCACGCTCGAAACACTCTACAGAAAGAATCCAGTCAGGATCCCGATCTTGTCACCGCCCTTCCCGGCCAACCGCCGGTGAAATTTCGGCACTACGCCGGGTACATCGGCATTGGGGACCGACAAGCCAAGGCGCTCTTCTACTGGTTTTTTGAGGCCGAGCACCGCCCCAGTGAGAAGCCTCTCGTTCTCTGGCTCAACGGAGGTCAGTATAGATCTTCTTTTTTGCTATTTCTTAATCGTCGGTCTGGATTCGAAAATTCCAATGCCCCTTTCTCTTAATCCCCCACATTTCACGATATAAATCCGTTGAGCGTATCGGAATCCCTAGTTAGTTGAGTAGAGAGGCCGGAGAGCCGGAGAGGGAAGGTCACCGCCAACCGACGGAGGAAGAGCGGAGGATAGCAGAACGCTACACTCTACTCCACTTAAAAAATAGAAACGATTAATTGATATGTTGAAATGGGATTAAAAAATTGTGTCTACTGTCTTAGAGCACGATTTGCATACCTCTTATCTTTTTTTTTATCTCGTTTTTATTGTCACTTCAATTCATCAGTTTTTTTTTTTTGGGATAATCCATCAATATTTTTAAACATTATAATATAAGAAATTCAAAAGCCTAACGTGCTTTGAGTTGCAGACATTTTCTAAAACAGTTTTTGTTTTAATCGACATACACATCCCTAACAGGTTCGTAAAGCTAGCTGGCAACAAATAACCCAGACGGAATTTTTCTTTTTGAAATTTGATATCCTAAGCTATTCTATAGATGCCTGGAAGGCTATTTTTGGTTCGAATGAATTGGATATCACTTAATTTCTTGCTTGGTATGTCTCTATAACTTAATTAATAGTTAATATAATTTATCTCGAAAATACACAGATGAAAAATTTTCAATTGTCTCTGATATTCATCTCTTCATGAAAAAAAAAAATTCAATTTTCTTTAATCAAATAAAAAAATACTTCTTTCCTTGATCACTTCTTAATGAACCAGATTGGGGAAAGTTGATTTCAGTTTATTTCTTTTTTGTATTTTAATTTTGATTTTGTTTTCGTTTCTTTACTTGCAATTCCTTCAAAGTCGATCAAACGGAGCATAATTTCATAGCAACTGTCATTAATTGTGGTAGTAAATGAATTTTCATGGAAACAATTTCCAGGACCAGGATGCTCATCCGTCGCATACGGCGCGGCGCAGGAACTGGGGCCTTTTCTGGTACGGAGTAACGGCCCGAACATTACGCTGAATCCATTCGCCTGGAACAAAGGCAAGCTTTTTCCATTCCCAAAATGTCCCATTCTCTCTTCTTCTTTTTTTTCCTACTTTTCTCTGAGAGCAATTCTGCAACATTATATTTCAGTGGCCAATCTTCTATTTCTTGAAGCTCCAGTTGGTGTCGGCTTCTCCTACACCAACCGATCATCGGATCTTCGCAAACTAGGTGATCGAGTCACCGCCGAGGACTCCTACTCCTTTCTTCTCTCCTGGTTCCGCCGCTTCCCCCGCTTCAAGTCCCACGACTTCTACATCGCTGGGGAGAGCTATGCCGGTAGAAATTAGAAGAAAGTAAAATGCATTTTATGCGAACAAAAATAAGTTCCAAACAGAAATTTAAGATGATTTATATTTTTTTTGGTAAAAGGACATTATGTTCCCCAGCTGGCGGAGAGAATATATGAAGGAAACAAAGCTGCAAAGCAGATCTCATTTATTAATCTCAAGGGATTCATGGTAATTAAATTGCACACTTTAATTGGGCTGGTCAGCCTCCAAGTATTTTGCTTTTTCTTCTCAAAATCACAAAAAAAAAGATGATAATGTGATGGATAGCCGCGCATGCTTCCCCCTTTTCTCTTTCTATCTAATTCCTGTCCATCCGAAAAGAAAATGAAGCCCTTAAATTTCCCTAAAAAAAAAGAGAAAATGATGGAAAAGATTCCTGCTTGCTTAAGAATAATGCGGTGGTGGTGATCATGGCACGTGCAGATAGGGAACGCGGTTCTAAACGACGCGACGGACCAAATGGGGATGGTGGAGTACGCTTGGAGCCACGCCATTATCTCCGACGAGCTCCACGCCATCATTCTCAAGGAGTGCGGCTCCTTCCAGCAGGATGGTGACCGGCCGGCCGGCCCGGGATGCTCTCCAGCCCTGCGAGCTTTTCTCCAAGCCTATTCCGACATCGACATCTACAGCATTTACACGCCGGTCTGCCTCTCATCATTTGACCGTTCTAGCCGCCGGAAGTCTAGACTTGTAGCTGCCCCTCTGCTCTTCTCTCAGCAAGTATGCCGAAATGTATTTGCAATTAGTATTTTAGCTTCAATTTTCACACTAATATCAGCGTTTATTTTTGAATTAATGTATTAGGACCTCTGGCCTGGAATGAGCAGAGTGGCCGCCGGCTATGATCCATGCACGGAGGACTATGTCGAGACATACTTCAACAGGGAAGATGTTCAGAGAGCTTTGCATGCCAATGTCACGCAACTCTCCTACCCGTACTCCTCGTGCAGGTTATTTCACTTATTCTCTTCAAAATTCTATTTAATTTAAAAAATCTGACATTCATAATTATACCCACATGTGTATCACAGTAACTGCCACACTGTTATTTTCATTGATTCGGAGGAATACTGTAAAATGATTCCATCCTAAGACATTTATTTCTCTTTATTGTGCCGCTGAATTCATCCCAGAACCTGCTTTAAGTAAAACATGTTCGCATTCACTATTCCATCTCTAAAACAAAAACCGCTAGTTTTTGAACGAACTAACTCGGCATGGCCGATTCAGCGAGGTGATCGAGAAGTGGAACGACTCGCCGGCCACGGTTCTGCCCGTCCTTCGCCGGCTATTGAACGCCGGCCTCCGCATCTGGGTCTACAGGTAAATAAACTTGTTTCTACAATACATGGTAATGCTGAAATGAATAGTTTTTAATGAAATCAAATACGAGATCTCAGTGGCGACACAGACGGAAGGGTTCCGGTGACATCAACTCGTTACAGCATCAACGAGATGCATCTAAAGGCGAAGCAGGACGAGAGGAAAGGGAAGAAGAAGGAATGGGGTGGGTGGAGAGCTTGGTATCATAAGGAGCAGGTTGCAGGATGGGTAGTGGAATATGAGGAAGGGCTTTCATTGGTGACAGTGAGGGGGGCCGGGCACCAAGTTCCAGTCTTTGCCGCTGCCCGTTCCCTTGCCCTCTTCTCTCACTTCCTCCATGGCCGGACGCTCCCGGCTGACCGCTTCGCCGGGGCCTAAATTGCTTTTGCTTTTGTGACTGACTTCTTTCCTCGTCTTCTTCTCTGTGCTTGCTCTGTAGTGAGGAGTTCTGCTCTGCAAGCTACACCAATTGTTTGGGTATTTCATTTCACAGTTTTATTTTTTGCCATCTTTGATTTTATTTTATTTTTGTATCGATTGATTTGGTTGGTAAGACACCGAGTTGATGTTTGGAGTAGAATTTACGTTTAATGGAATTAATTGATTTCTGATAATTCAGAAGATGGGAGATATCTTTATTTTGTGTTAAGCTCAAAGAAGCAAAGTAAAAAAAAAATTACAAAATAATTTTTTTTTTCATACAATAACATGATAAGGATTGATAACATTCAAATTCAAGTTAATAAAATACAAATATTTGCAAAAACTTCACTGATAATTTAAAGATAATGCTAGAATTTTAAAATAATGATTAACAAACTAGTGTCAATTGATTCAATGCAATAAGATTTGATAAAGTAATATTATTACTGTAAAAATAGAAATATGAGTAATTATCTTGATTTAAATAGTTTTTTTTTCCTTTTTGACCTTGCTCTGATCTCAAAAATATAACTTCTATACTAATAATAACTTCATAAAGTTATTTTTATTTATAAATGTAATCATATCTCTCTTTAATTAGCAATTAATTGAACCCAAATAATTCTCATTTTCTTCTAAAGGAAAATATCTTTAATTCCTTTATTTTCAAATTTTCATTTATTTAAAAAATACTGATGTTCTTTCTAAAAATAATAATTTAATTAAATAAAATCTCTCATGAATTTATATAATAAATTCACGCACACTCTCAATCTATGATATATTTATCAAAATTATCAAAAGTATGCTCTACTCGAGGAATTCAAAATTTCCCTTAATAAATCAAGAAAATTTATCTCCATACAGAAAAATATAATTTCACAAATAATCATTTTAAAATTGATATATCCTCAAAAAATTATCTTGATCGGGCACGAATCTCAAGGAAAAATCAAACTGGAAGCTTCAAAAATTAAATTCGGGATCACCTAAACTCTGATTTTAGTGAACTTACAGTCAAACTGAGCGTCTCAGAAATACGAACCCAACGACACCAAATTCGACTCAATCCGAGCCCAAATGAGTCCAAATCAAGGACCCGAAGCGCTGTTGGAAAGTTCTTACCACAATTTTAGTTACCAAACTGTTTCCAAATTTGATGAGAGTTTGTACTCGAATCGAGCGGCTTGACGAGATGAATCCAACGAGCCGAAGATCGCCGAATTCTGACATCACTAAGACCTTCAAATGTATGATGAACGGTGCACGATCAAGGGATTCGATATCAACCGTCTATCCGACCACTTCCTATTTGTCAATCATCTCACGTCTATTTACAAGCTATGCCACTCCAGAAAATCTATAAATAGGCCCCTCATTTCTCATGAGAAGGTGACCAAGCTAGAAGAAGAGAAGAAGAGGAGAAGGATTGGAGGGAAGAACTCCTCCACGACCACCACTGGAATTCTGCCCGACGCCCGAGTGACGCCGGAATTTCGCCGGACGCCAGAGTGACGTCGGAATCCGGCTAGAGGCCCAAGTGACGCCAGAATTCTTCCCAATGCCCAAGTGACGCCAGAATTCTTCCCAACCTCCAAGAGATGCCAGAATTCCGCACGATCTCCAAGTGATACCGGAACTCTGCCCGACATTGTATCTTGATTTCATTCCAGAAGTGATTCATTATAATCTGATCATTCTAAGTTTTAAGGACGAGTCAACCTCTTGTATTTCAAGCAAACACTAGTGGAAATCTTTCAACTGAGCGTGACCCCGTAGTTTTTTTCCCTTTCTAGGGTTTTCCAAGTAAAAATCTTGGTGTTATTATTCATCTTCCGTTTGTGTGTTGAATATCCGTACAACACTAAGATGAATATTTTTTAACTCTACCGTCACGTATATTCTAACCTGCAACAAAAGTAGATGAAAAAAAATCATAATCTATTTAGATATGTTTTCTAATATAATTTGTTACGAAGAGAAGAATGTGGACAACTGCATAATAATAAATCCTCACAGATGGAGGCAATAGGGGAAGTTGGATGTATTAGGCGAAGACGACAACATACCATAATTAGTAGGAGAAATTATCATCTCCGGACGTCAAACATGTTGACACCTAATTTTGTAGACATGTAAATTTAATGCTATTGGATACCTCTGCATGGTTATCTGTACCGAATAATTTCTTCAATCAATGCAGGTCTAATAATGTAGAATTTAACAATCATGGGAATCGGAGAATTAACAATACATGTGGTGAACAATAAAGATGAGTGGGAAGACCACAAAAGCCTCACAATGCATGGGCAAATTATTACGTTCGGTGTCTGGACATCAATCCAGACGCATCATGTCACCAAAATATATCGGATCTCAGTGTATTTGGGTGACGTGGCACATCTGGATTGGATGTCCGGACGTTCGGTGACCGGACTTAATAATTCGCCCAATGCATGGGAAAGATAATGGAAGAATACCGTGGTGAGATAAGGAGAAAAAAAAAATCATGCAAAGAGGAATTAAGGCTTTGGGCGGTGAAAGAAGACTAGCAAAGATCCACAACTAACAAATTTCATAATCAATTTAAGGTCTTGTGGGATTTATTAAATCTTCATATACTTTTAAATCTACGTTTTAGATTCGTTTGTGATTATTTATTATTATTTTTTAAAATAAAATTTTAATATTTTTTTTTGAATTAAATAGAAAGCTGCTTTAGAAAGCAATAAAAAAAATGTTATAAATGAAGCCTTAGCATGCTATTAGCTATACACCTATGTTTTTTTTAATAGCCTTAGCATGCTATTAGCTATACACCTATGTTTTTATTAGTTAAGGGGTTGCTTAAGATCACTTTTGTCTTTAATTTTCTTTAATTTAAATTTGGTAAAGTTGTAGCTGAGTGGCCTAAAACTTTATCTCTTACAAGTGCTCTAAGCTATTGAATTTAGCTAAGGACATACAAATTTGTCAACCTATTAATAGAATTGGGCCAAAAATGTTGTCAACTTGATCAAAGAACCTGCCAACTAACAATAAATTCTCAACAACAAAAAAAAAAAAAGTTTATTGCATGTGACTGTTTTATACCTCTCATCACCTTCTCAAGTGTTTTAACAAGTATTGACTAAGTCGAGATGAGGGTATTTCCCCTTAGGAGCTTATCCCTCAATGAACTCACTTGGGACTAGTAAAGAAACTTTCCCAAGGAGAATAAGGAGCTTCAGTTGCCCACATCTGTTAAGGAGCTCACCCTATATTGGGCGACCAGGAATTTCCTCACTAAGCAAAAAAGTGCTCACTTATCCACATCCTCTGAGCTCACTAGACTAAGCTACAAGAAAGCGTCTACCTCAGGGACTTCACACTCCATTTAGCTACCACTACTAGGCTCAAGGAATCTTCATTCTTACAAACACTATTGTTTTCTTTTCATGATAAGGCAACCTTGAGTCCATTACAAGATTCACCAACCCAATTAGATGACTCATTGACTATAGGTCCATCTACTCTCGGGACTCACCCACAAACTCATCCTACGCCTACTCTCCTCTCCTGAGCTTTCCCCACGACAGATAGCTCACCAGACTGTGGACTTTACACTTCTACATCCAATCAAGAGGCGACTCATGTCATAGATTAGAATGTAGCATTATATAAGTATGTTGTATAGCATTCATTTTTTTTACTTCTCTCTTCATATATAACCTTTCATATAACCCTCAAAACCCTCTAAATAATTGTGATGAGGAATAGTTTTGCATCTTGGACCTTTAGACCATTGACCTTTTAATCTTTTGGGATAATGAGTATGTCTTCATGTAGTTTATATTGAGATAATGAAGATTCTACCATCATACTCTCCTTCTCTCTACTCTCTCCACTCTCTTTACTCGCTTCACTCTTTTAACACTCAATTCTCACTAACACATTCTCAGCTCACCAAAGGAATCTACTAATAGCGATTGGTATCACCCAAACTGAATTCAATATCCTCTTAGATGCAATGACCATTATGGATAAGTAAATTTGTACTACTAATTCACTTTATGTTTCTTTAGCCAGATCCATATATTTAAACATTATACCAACTCGAGAGATAGACTAAGACCTCACTATCAACTTGAAAAGATAAACAAATTTTATTTTCATAATCAAACTCAACATAGGAATGTAAAATTCATCTCAAAAGATAAAATTCACATTTATCTTTCATTTTTAAATTAAAATAAACTAATTATTAGCTTTAATTTGTCTCTAGATTTTTCCCTATTCTAGCGAACTAAATTAGGGTTTATTTTAATCTGGGTTCTTGAGATCCAATAGAGGTCAGCCTCTATAGTTAATTATATCTTTAAAGATAATTTTTTTTATTAAAATGGATATTAAACTTATTTTAGATTTAAAATTTAACAGATTTAATTTAAAGATTTAAATATTTCAATTAATCATTTTGGAAAGACTTTAAAGTTTATAAAGCTTATTTAAAGGTTAAGATAATTTTCCTCGAAAGAAGATTGAGGGGTGCAAAATTATTTAGGATTATGCTCGCTTAGAGTACACTGCCAGCTAACCACTTAAGCACATAATTTTAAAACCAGGAATTTCAAGTCTAATGCATGCAGGTAAGATAACTATTTTTAACATCAGAATCAAGGATTATGGTTCATATTTTAAATTAGAGCTTAGTAAAATGAGGGGTGTCAGATGCACCTAACTAATGCAATTTTACTGCAATGACACCATAAACTCAAAATTTTGTTTTTAGTTAACATTGAATTTCTAAATTTTTTGAGTATGGATTTTCAATAAAAATCTAGAAGCATAATGACCTCAAACCCATAGGGAATAGTAGAGCAGCCCGTTGTGTAGTCGCCACACCCCAATATATTAACATAGGCGTGCGTGCTTTGGTTTAATGTACATTACAAAAATTAAAATGCATATATGTATGATTGATTGGGTAAATATGTTTGTGTATACAATAACACTATTGTATTATCTTAGAACTATTATAAATGTTATTACAAAGTCTATGACATGCACACTAAAAGAAACGTATCAAAATTATATCCTCTAATGTAAATACATCATCCATATGAATGTATTGCGTGCAATATGAAATAGCATATGAAAGTGAAGTGTATAAATAAATATTTTA